CATGCCGAACAATACGACCATCGAATTGACTTCAGCAATGCCACCATTGTCAACAAGACAAAGAACTATCGCGAACGTTTGTTTTTAGAGGCTTCGTATTTCCTCAAGGATCATAACGCAGGAAACGATCATGTCGAGATACCGGATGTGTATAAAACACTTATCTGCTAATTAACTCTGAACCTTTACATAATGTTCAGTTTTGAACCTAGTCAACTTTTTAACTGACGAAGACCTAAGTCACTGGTCGAAACGTCTTAACATCTTTTTAAATAAACGTAGTTTTTAACGTTTTTATCAAACCAGTGTCAAACCTTTCTACATCTCAATAATATATATATATATAAAATTTGGTTTTGTTGGTTATAAAAACTTTTGGCAAAGTGCTCAATGGAAAACGAGAGCATATTTAAATTAAGGTACAACAAATCAACAAAATCCACTAGGCATCTTTATTACTAAATAGTTTCGTACCAAAGTATGTGGCACTCTTCAGATAAAAGAGAGCCAAATAGTGTCGTAAGAAAATATTTAGTAGTAAAGATGCCTAGTGGAGTTTGTTGATTTGTTGTGCCTTAACTTATATTATATATATATATATATATATATATATATATATATATATATATATATATATATATATATATATATATATATATATATATATATATATATATATATATATATATATATATATATATATATATATATATGCGTGTGTGTCGTGTTATCGAGCCGTTCCACTTAATTATGATTATAATTTACGGAAATTTAGAATAGATTCGCTGTTGGCTGCTAGGCAAATGTTCTGAAATTTGAAAATTCTATATCTTAATATTGCAATCTTATAGGGGGCCAATTATGAACGATTTCAATCCCGGCGTTGAAAGCTATTCCCAGCATTGATAACTGGAAGTAAATATAAGAGGCTTCATAGCTTCCACTTTGTTTTCTTCTAATAAATAGTCACTACCACTCATGCTTGAATAACTCATGAATAATTTTAGCTCTGGGTTGAAATGAAGCAGGGTTGGAATTTCAATCCCTGGGTTGAAAATTTTGTCATGTAATTACGCGTTTGATTTTGATGGACTTTTGTATTACAGACATGAGGGCTGAAATTTGAGTTTTCAATCCGGTCAACAGAGCTGAGTTCAACCCTGGGATTGAAAATATAATCGGCCACTAACCAGACCACATTATAATACTATATCTAAGGAATGAGCAGCATGCAATTGACAAAATTGCAAGGAGTTCTGAATTTGGGTCTTGAAAATACTATTTTCAACTGATTCTGTAATTTATTTATCTACTTAAGTGTTTTTAATATGTGTGCAATAGTACATGTTTCTTTACAACTAAAAGTAATTATAGATATTTGATGTAATTATTGCTATACCTTCTTTTCAAATGCACCACGAGATAGTTGTTTTGACAAATGCCGAGTAAAATTTCTCGTTTTGAGGCAATGCTGAACATAACATTTGCAGATGTGGATAACTTTTTTTCGAGGTTATATTTTTTTTCAACCGCCATAAACTTAGCAAATGCTTCAGCCAATTAACCCAAACATAATGCTCTCAAGTTGACCATCTGCCTAGAGCCATCACCACTCGTCGTGAAAAGAATTATTGCAATTTTTCAAAAACTTAGGAATTTTAGACTAAATTTATTAAACAGGTGAGTAGAAACAAGTGTGTACAATGAAGAGTTTCACACACATGCACGCGGCAAAATTAAATGTTCGATCAAACATCACTTTCGCGCGCTTTTTTTGCTTTCTTAGACGGTGCTGGTGATCTTCAGGTTTTTTTTAAACCAAATCCTTTTTCTTTTCATTCTATATCATAATAACAAAAACAATAGAAAAAATACAATTATGTTATTTGCGAAAGGATTCCGTTCGGACGCGCAATATTTAAGTGCAAAGTGCAATATTTAAGCTTGCGCAAGGCGAAGTTTGAAGGCTTATATCTTCTCAACAATGCGATAAATCAAAAATCGCCCCAAGGAGTCTCCAGGGAATTAATCCTTTTTGAACAACGAAAAAATATCAAAAACATATAAAAAAACATATCGAAAAAATATCAAAAATTCACTTGCAACGAAGCTGGAAAGTGACTGCTTGTGTTTGTTTACAAATTTCGCGAATTACGCGTTCTGATTGGCTTAAAGCCAAAATGTAAACAAATGCGCTGATTGGTCCAGAACGAAATTCACCCTTGTCTAGAAAAGGTTTTGAAACATCTTGTCTTACCAAAATGAAAAGAAAAGAAAGATTTCCTCCAAATGGGAAAAAGAACTGAGCATTATTTTGACGAATCGTGTGTCTATTCTACTTTCAAATAAACAATAAAACAATTATCGTTAAAGTCGGCTCCCTTCTTTTAGCCGATTCTTTCGCCCTTTCTTTCTGAGAAAGCTTTTCAAATTTACAGAATCTTGCAAAAATGCGAGCAAAAATGAAATATATTTGCAAGATCAAATTTATCAATCATCAAATCAAGAGATGTTTGCTATTTCGCTGTCGTCATGCAGTCGTTATAATGCAAACATTAAATTGGACCAATCAGTGTCCGCTATTCATGACAGTCCGCCATATTTTTGAGATCAGTGGGGGATGACCACCCATCGTTGGTCACCCACGTCACGATCATTGATGAACTTTAGACTTCGCTAATGCTTTCGTATCCCCGGGTGTAAATAGCCGGGAGGAATTAGTACCCTCGCACGGCGCTTCGCGCCGTCTGCTCGGGGATTAGGTTTTTACTTTGTCTATATACCTATCACACCAATTTTCTGCTGTCCTTTCAATGAGACGTCTTGAGTGAAATTATGAAAACCGATTGAGAACAATAGGAAATGGGTGTGGTAGGTATATAATGATCATGCAGTGAGTGAAAAGTACGTTTTAATGATTTAATTCTTAAGGTAACGATGAAGGTGTGTCCGGTTCCGCGTCTGGACAACCAGCTGTACCTAAACTCTCTGAAGTGCTAGAAGAAATGTGTGCTAGTTTTCCTGTAAAGGATTACCACAACGTTTATCAAGGTAAACTAACAATAAATAAAATAGATAGGATAATTAATTGACTTACATGGCATTAGGATTAAAACTGGAGTTAGAATTAATGTTAAAATTATTCTATATTCTATTTTTATCTTCTTTATTTTATTCACTTTGGTACACGTTGGCTGGTTGGGAAACCAACAACTATGGCCAATTATTATACATTGTAATCACTACGTGTCTTCTGATTGGCCTAATCACGCAACCTTCCTGATCAAGTTAAATCCTCCACCTCCACTGCCATACTCAAATATAAACTGAAGAACTACTACCACGACAAACTTTAAACATTATTCAACGTTGATCGTTCGCAGAGGACATGAACGACCATTTGTTCTAAATGTCGCTCTTGTTATATTAGTTGTTGTTCAAAAGAGTTGAGAACGTTCGAAGCTGTCTTTGCATTTCCAAAATGTTTTTTGTTTCAGTCTGTTTGAATGAATTAAATTAAAGCCCAGATGAGGGCAATATTTGGGCGGTCTGTGTTCTTGAAATCCTATCTTTGGAAAATGCAGGAACAGCTTGGAACACATGCATGTTTAGGATGTTTGCTGTATTCTGTGTCCGTGCTATACAATGTTGATACATTTATATGTATAAAACGTTTTTGTAACTTGGTCATTTCCCAAACGTCTTTGCAAGGATTAGGAATAGTTTTTCATCTTAATTTCATGGCCAATTCACCTCACAACTGGTCTTGTATAAGGCCCGCTTAAACCCGAACTACTTCGCACAGATTTTGTTACATTTTCCAAATCATGTCGGGTACAAATTTGTGCGATGAGCATATGCGCACATGCTCATAACTGCTCTTGAGAATATGTCATCTGCTCACAAGGCCCGTTTAGACCCGATGGCCCGATGACTGCGTGTACATTTTTCGTTCGTGAAAGCCACCGCAAAAATTGATTAGTTTATGTACACAAATGTATACATTTTCGTATCCCATATTTTTGCCATTTTGATTTGTACCCAGTCGACCCATGTAAAAATGACAAGAAAAGACAGATATTGAAAAGCAATTTATTTAATGACTCGACGTTACATGCTGCAGTGTCCATACTGGTATGTTTTAACATGCTAATAATGTTCAAATACATGACTTTAATCCCATATTCGAACTATCAAACGAGTCTAATCATCATCATTCTCTTCATCAAAATCGTAACCCTTTAAAACCTTCTTATAAGAGACTTTCTCTTATCAACACTGCTTCTAACGCTTCTTCTGGATCAAAATAATTGTTTTCCACAAGGGCGTCTTTTGTGTGCATTATTTTCGTATGTATTGGATCTTTCTTTAGCTGTTTCATCCACCCAAGACACTCCACATAAATATTTTCCAGTTCCTTCTGGAGTTTAGGCAGAATATTAGGGTAGTAAGCTTTGTCCTTAGTGGATTGTTCATCTAGACCACTATTTATAAGCCTTTCTTTTATTTCTTCAAAAGCTATATTACTTCTTTGCTTTATTCCCCTTTCAGTTTCTGACTCGTTATCAGTCGATCTGTCAGACCCATGAGTTGAAGTTGTTGAGACATCGTCTTAGAAATCCCTTTACTGGCTATCCGAGTCTGTTTGAGACATGTTTCTTTCTTATAGGAGTATTTCTTTTCGTGTCTATATAGATTTTAACCGTAAAATGGCAGCGCATTCCATTAGAAACTTGGCACTGACTGTGTAGAAATGCCACGTTATTGAGATACTTTGACGAACTATTTTTTCGTCCTTGATCTCACCCAATTTAGTTTTATTAAGGACCAATAAGGTAGAGGCCCAATTTGTCCTTGCCAGCATGACGACGTTTTTGAATTGTACCGATTGGTAATTGCTTTGTTTAATTAAGTGGCATTGGGTATCATATTGTTGACTGTGAGCCATTTCTCTATAATATCTATTGCATTTTGTAATGTGTTTTTTTTCAATTTTTAGACATATTTTGTCATTCGATCAAATTGTTGTATCGTCTGCATCAATATCTAGGTTCGCTTCACTGAGTGAAAATGGGAGATCATTTATGTAGATAAAAAAAGAACTGGACACATTATAGATCCTTGCGGAGCACCTCGTTCTAATATCAGAGCTTTGAGAGTGATCCTAACATAGAACACTGCTGTGAACGACCACTTAAATAAGATTTTAACCATTGCAAGGAGTGATATGATATTTAGCAAGTTTATTTTGGAGTAATATGATATTTAGCAAGTTTATTTAGAAGGACAACGTGACTAACTAAACCATAAGCCTTACTGAGACCAATGAAGATAACCCCAATAAATTCGTTTCTGTCCATTGCTTTGAGTCACTTGTCCGTTATACTAAGGAGAGCAGTTTCACATGAATGATTTACTCTATACGCTTTTCACATGAATAATTTACTCATGAACGCACACGACTCATTTTCTATTTACTCGTTGGGGTACCTGTGCCAAGGAGAGTATAGGTTTCGGCATGCATTTTTCTTGGATCGTCAATAGCCACAAAATAGAATATTAATGAGCTACCAATTTTTACCCAAATTATTCAAAAGGCTCCTGCCAATTTTTACTCAAATTATCCATAAATAACCCTAAGCTTTGAGAAAAATTCAATAATTTTACTAAAAAAGCCAAAGCAGGCAGCTGCTGTTTATTTTAACCAGTGTGAATATGTTTACGTATTTGTTTACGTTCTTTTAAAACTGCTTTTTTATTGCATTGAAGATTCAACGATAAGAATAATAAATTTGGAGATGAATTAATGCCAAATAAATCCTGTTAAGTGGTTAAAATGACATCTTATAGCCCGACGAATACAAAGTCAAAACAGCGATTCACAGGAACAATTGTATGAAATACTAGAAAATACATGCATGCAGAAACCCTCGCCTTGCTGACAAAACCATTGCATTTTCCGAACATGAAGTATCTAAAGTAGCTGTCATGGTAACACGATAATTTTTTAAGAATATTCTTACAAATGAAAAATTGTATAAAATATCACTTTAATTACAAAATTATCAATTTCCCAACATTTATATGTTAGGTATGTTATTGTACGTAATATAAACTTCAATTTAAGGTAAAATTCAACCACAAACACTTCGCAAAACGTTTTAAAGTATTCTTCTAAACTTCCTTTAATTAAATGGCTTTATCGATAAACTTTGAGTTTGCAATAACTAAATGATTTCAAATTCTCGCATGCAATTAACTTTGCTTTCTTTTTTATTTAAAAAATTCGATATAATAAAAAAGGAAATCGGTATTAAAGATACACTGAAATTATATGCTGTCTTGTTTAGTTGTTTCATATACGCAAAGGCCGTCGGGTTTTAAAGCAATTATAAAATCAATATTTAAAACAAACTTACTTTCGTTAACGTCGGCTCCCTTCTTTTAGCCGATTCTTTCGCCCTTTCTTTCTGAGAAAGCTTTTGAAATTTACAAAATCTTGAAATATATTTGCAAAAATGAAATATATTTGCAAGAAATTTATCAATCATCAAGTCAAGAAATGTTTACTATTTTGCATTTTCGCTGTCGTCATGCAGTCGTTATAATGCAAACTTTAAATTGGACCAATCAGTATCCGCTATTCATGACAGTCCGCCATATTTTTGAGATCAGTGATGATCAGGGATGACCACCCACCGAAACATCGTTGGTGAGCCACGCCCGCGATTATTGATGAACTTTAGACTTCGCTAATGCTTTCGTTTCCCCGGGTGTAAATAGCTGGAGGGGAATTAATACCCTCGCACGGCGCTTCGCGCCGTCGGCTCGGGGTTAAACTCGATATAAGAATGCTAAGTACTAACTTAGCAATTAACTATGCCGTTATAAGAACAGATTAAAGACCAGACACAGTACTAGTTAATTCAGTCAAAATTAAATTTTCCCTGACTTACAAATTATTAACCCCCCCCCCCACACACACACAAAATTAAATTCGTTAATATTGAAATCGGCGCCATTTTCTATCTTTTATTAGTGGGAATGTGGAGTGAATGGAGTTCATGCAGTCGTAGTTGTTGTCTTGGCGTACGATGTCGGTCTTGTCTTCAGGAACCATGCAATGGACATGCAACTGAGATTTGCAATACCAACGTTTGTTCAGGTAAGAAATTGGAAAAAGCTAAAGTGTGTATGTGTTTTGCCATCCAGTGCACTCACATATAAATTCATTTTGGTTTTTTACCCATGTACTGTCAGAGCAATGGTAAGAAGGTTATTTGGTGACCAAACTGGCAAAAACAATGCGAATAGCAGGCTTCATTATACTTACTTTTCCTATTAATGGTTATGGTTGGGTTAGGATTGGTTTTAGGATAGTACTTAATTTAATTGTTAATATACTAAATTTATTATTTTCAGAAAAATGTACAGAACCAGCAGACTGCAGGAAGCGACAGGAGTTCCTTAGCATGAGTGGTAATGATAAACATAGATTTATCAATGCTTTCATCACAGTTTCCACTCACTCTGAATGGAAACACCGCTTCAAAGCATTGGCAAGAATTCATTTTGAAAACTTCCGGGGAAAGACAATCCATCACAGACACGAATTCTTACCATGGCATAGATGGTTTGTATTACTATATTTACTATTACTGTTCTGGTATAGTACTCATTCTCATTGCTCAGAGATACGAGCGCGCACAATGCACAGGTGCGCATGCATATTAACCATTTCTCAAAGTCCTGGCTCTAGTCGCGCAAACCCCATGTTCGAGGGACAAGAACTATGGCCGAGAACACATTTAAATTAAATGTTTAATGTAAAAAGGAGATATTTCAATTTTGGTCGTCTATAAAGTCGATTTTGATAGTAGATACTTCTTTTTTTTCCACATATTTGACGCCTGTCACTATATATAATTTGTCCCTCCAAACGACCCCAGAATGCATTCTGATCTCTTTTTGGAAAAGGCTAATTAGGTGCAAAGGGGTGTAAGATGCGGTTAGCGTGCTGCTTCTTACCTCTGAGTTAAGTATACCACTGTAGGTAGAGAAACAGGTTGGCATTCCCGGCCTGACCTGTGAAAATGTTCCCGACCCCACTTTTTTATTTGTTTATAAATACAGTCTAGAAACCTTCCACTTCGACAAGTAACAGTATGCAGAATCCTCTGGCCTTGCTAGCAAACCCACTAATTTTCCGAACATGATGTATTTGGAGTGTTGCAATGGCAACACGATCATATTATTTTTTATATTTTTCAATATAGAAATAACTCCTCCATCCGTGGCGAAGTGGTTAGCGCACTTGCCTTTCACCTCTAAGGCCGCAGGTTCGAATCTCAGTGAGAGCTTCTCAATGTGACTCGAACCCAGTCCTCATGTGAAAAGAATAAAAGTCAACGCTCTGCCGAAAGTCGTGGGTTTTCTCCGGGTACTCCGTGTTTCCTCCCACAGGGAAAGTTGACAGGGTGGGTTAGGCACATAGGATAGGTCTGGAGGCAGATCATTAATGAGGTATGGACTAATAGCGGCTGCTCAAGCGCCATTTGTAAGCTCAAAGTCTACCTCGGTCTGCTTCACGTCAGTCCGGTTTTATCTATCTATTCATAATGTAACCAGTCACTGAAAAGCCCTGTTAGGGAGTGTGCTGTGAAATATCTGTACCTATCTGTACCCTCCCCCCAATATCTCTTTCAAATACTAAATTATCAATTTGCCAAATATATTTGTGACGTCACTGTTATTATATGTAACATAAGCTTCAATTTAAAACGTTTACTGTGTACATAAAACCAAACTGCATGCCTTTTAATCGAACTTTGAGTTTGAAATAAAATGATTTCAAATTCTAACACAATAGTAACTTTGCTTCCCTAATGATTTATAATCTAATATAACAGAAAGGGTGATGGACGACTTGCGCTTTAGACTAAATTTTAATCTAAGTAAGAACAACGAAATCTATCACCACTGCTAGAAAGAGCGTCTTGGAATTAGTAATATTACGAAGTTTGGTTGCGAAATGATATAAAATACGGAAAATATAGCCCTTCAAAGTTGGCAAATTTGTATACTTTTGTATTACGTGCGTGAATTGGTAACTAAATTAGTTACCAATTTCCGCACGTAATAGAAATGTATACAAATTTGCCAACTTCGCAGGGCTATATTTTCCGTATTTTACAACATTTCGCAACCAAACTTTGCAGTTTTTCTAATTTTGATAACTTCTTTCCAGAAATATCCTTTGTTATTCCCAGATTAAAAATTTTTCTAAAGCGCAAGTCGTCCAGTCTCTGTGTGGGTATTTTTTTGTTTTTTTATTATATTTCGCATTAAAAAATTACTTTAAATTATAAAGTATTACTCACTTGATTTCCTTTATGCAGAGCCACCGAGAGAATTCTCGGGGCCCGGAGCAAATCTTCTCTGGGGGCCCAATGACATCATTATTTTGCTAGACCCAACTATAGACATTATAGCTAGACTGCATGTAGAGGTACTGTAAGAGGCCCTCAATTTCAAAAATGCTTTGACCAATTTAAAGAACCTACTCAATTTCAGGCTCTCGCTCTCAAGTTGGGGCCCTATTAAGGTGGGGGCCCGGAGCAATTTGCCTCCCCCCCCCACACACACACACACTGCCCCTCCTCTCGCCGGCCCTGCCTTTATGTGTTCAGAAAATCTATGTGATTTGGGTGTGGTTCTAGTTTGATATAGCCTGCTCGCAGTCCGAAGCAGGCTAGTTTGATACAATTATATAATCAAAGGTCTCAATGAGATGACTCACGGATCACAAAGAAACAATAAACAAAGCAAAGCCAATTATTGTGTAATAGGAAAAAGAGAGAGAAAATGTCGACGTTCTTCTATATATGCAGGTAGTTTATCTTACGTTAAGTCTCAATTCTGGTCGCAATCGTCGAATGATATCACAACTCCGATTTGCAAGCAATGTTTGCATGATATACATAACTGGGTATACCAAAATCTGATTACAAAAATATAGCGAATAGCAACATTGTAAAATCAATAATTTAATATAAAATAGTCAATATAAAATTGTTAATTTAAAATAGTCAATATCAAAAATCGGCAGAAATACAATAGGTGTGAGACGTAGCTCATCAGCACATGCATGTATGAAGCCTTGGGCCCATTTCAATTACACACAATATAGACTTTGAGCTAAATATCTTTTGTCTTTAAAGTGCCTATGACACGAAATTTTACCCCAAAGTTTTATGGTTGCGTTGTAAAGATCACTTAAAATGATGACTTGATCATTTCTTTTATAGAATTTTGGTAACTTGCTCCCTTTTCAAGATATTCAACTTTGTTTCATATGCAAATATCACCGGTGTGACATCACATCACCAGGGGCGCCAGAGCCACAGGGGCAGCGGGGGGGCAACAGGTTGCCCTTTTTACCGGAACTGAACTTCGAAATACGTGCTTTATTCACAGGAATATGAATTTATAACTATTTTTAAACGTTCAAGCAATCTTTGCTTAATTTTTAACCAGTTGCAGTAAAATTAATACTAAATCAATATACGTCCGCTTACTGATTCTATTTTGCACCATTAGCGCGGTGCAACGAATAAAATTGTTCAAAATTAATGTCAAAGTTTGCCGACCCATAATAGCCACAAGTAATTAAGTATCCATACAGTAACGTTTTCAAGGCCGGCGAGAGCCAACCACGAGCCCAGGACAAAATGACGAATTGGTGAACACGGGCCCCTGTCCCTCTCGACTCTCCCGCTGGCGCATGGCCACGCCAAAGTCTATTTTTAATCGCAATCAACGAGAGAATCGCAATGTGAAGGATGTTCAGCTAACTGTTTTTGCTGAGAAAACGATCGAAAAATCGTTTATTTCTCATTTGGTACGTTTTATGATAGAGCACAACGATCTGCGGATAGTGTGCAAGTAGGCGTATTTCATTTAGGACAAACATAAGCGATGATAAACGCAATACGAACATTTTACCGAGATTTCCGGGCCCCTCCGAGCACTCCGGGCCCCGGGTATTTTGCCCCCCCCTTGCCACCCTTCTCGCCGACCTTGAAAGTTTTAACAAATATTGCTGCTCGGAAAAATGATGGCTGACAAGCAAGTGCTCTTTTTGAATTGGCTGCCCCCGCCGCTTCGCATTGCTTCCGGCGCCCCTGCACATCACATAATGCGTTTTCAGAAAAATATAGTTTTCTTGACGAATACGTATCTTAAAAAATCGGTGGAACATGGTGAAAATCAAGTTTTTCTTACTTCTACCTACAGAAAACCATTGCGGACAAAATGTTGAAATTTTGAAATTATTTTTCTTCAAATATAACATACATCATTGGAAAGCTTAGAAAAATGCCATAAATTTGTATTTTGTGCAAATTTTGCGCTGTTTTTCCAACTTTGAGCTAGAATAACGACAAACTGACCAGTAAATTGAATATAACGGTTTAATTGACCTTAATATAGTTTTGTTTAAGCTTTCCAATAATGTAGGTTACATTTGCCTAAAAATGATTTCAAAATTTGAACATTCTGTCCACAATGATTTTCTATAGGTATAAGTAAGAAAAACTTGATTTTCACCATGTTCCACCGAAGGGATTTTTTTTTATTTTTAGTATGTTAATCAGAACACCTTTCCTCACATTTTACCACTGAGAAAAATTCTATTGCAATTTCTTTGACCTCTGGTCACACATTGACTGGACTAATACTTTTTGCAAAGACTTTAATAAAATTCACATACTTTATCGTAATTTCTTCCTTTCACCGTGTGCAACTTAATTATTTCCTCCATATGAACTGCAATTAAATATAATGACCATATTTCATTTCCACCCTTTCCCATGCTGCTTTATAATCTTCCGACCCTGGCTTCAAGTTTGAAAGTCTACCTCTCACCTTCGGATTCACGAACCTAACAGGTACCCAGATTTCGCTCTCATTCTCTCTTCCCACATTTCTTTCCGTTGTTGGATCTGCCTACACAGTTAATTGCTGTTGCATCTTTCTGATCCTACTTTTTCCTCAGCCCTCAAGTTTTCATGTCTCTGTCTGTTGTCTAGTGCCCTACACAACCTCTCACGTTTCTCGCATAGTTTTGCATACTCTGCCTTCAAATCTCTCTTCCACTGTCTAATAGATCTTTGTGATTAACAAGCTCAACTTTTATTTCTTGTAAATGCGACACCAGGTAGTTCATATTATTTTGAATATGATGCCTTCGCTTGCATACTTGTTTAATTTCATTAAAATGTGCACTTATGTGAACGTTGTTAAATGGATAAAGACTTGTCCTGATTTACAAAAATTTCAGCCTTGATTTTCTCGGCATAGGCAATGTTTATTTTTAACATTATTTCACCAATGAACTCATGAGATGCGTCGTTTCTTAAGCACGTGAAACATTCGCATCCGATCTTTATCTGATATACAAACTCTTGCCTTCGGCTGGAGTTTGTATATCAGATTAAGATCGGCTGCTCATGTTTTAACTAGTACTTAGGCCTTTGTCAATAAAAAAAAGTGTTACCTGCCCTCCCCCCTCCCTCCCATATTCAGGACGCTAACCAAGATATTTTTACGTGGCCTATTCAAGAAATATTTTTATAACTGTTGTTAATGCCCTTGTGTTTAGCACACTTTATTATTGTTCGTCTGTGTGGTTTAATACCTCCAACCGAGTAAATTTAAATTTTTTTTCGGGGGTGTGTGGGGGATTATGCTTGAATACTCTGTTGTGTAGGAGCAGAATTGAGTTACGTATTTGTTTCCAGGTATCTGCTTATGCTTGAAAACTTACTAAGATGCTATGATTGCGGCGTCACTCTACCATATTGGGACTGGAGCCTAGAGGCTGACACCTGGGAAAAGTCTGAGATCTGGACTTGGATTGGTGGGGATGGAAACTGGTTTGATAATGATTTCGTCACTACAGGTTATATTATATAAAATATATTAAAATTTCGCACAAACCTCTTAATTAAATCCTGTTAGGTATAATCATATTGTTTCGAGTGCAATTCATTACTTGGGCGACTATGTCGACCAAGTCATAAATTCGCTCTGTTTTTTTTTCTCTGGTGTTGCGTTTTGTCCCCCATGATGCTTTGGGCATGTTTTCCACTTTCCATCCATGACGTTTCCTATGATGCTTTGAGGCATGTGTAGCATGTGCTGTCTTTGAACAAAGGACAGGGTTAATACAAAAAACAGTTAATAAACTTTACATTCAAAGCAAGATCTTAGTTAAAGGTACGTTACAGGGTCTGTCATAGACATGTCCCCCCTCTCAGCTCTCTTACTGTCCCCTCCAGTCGGCAATTTTGTCCTCCCCCCAGCCCTCTTTCTGTCCCCTCCAGTCGGCAATTTTGTCCTCCCCCCCCCCAGTGAGGTCCCCAAGAACGTGACCGGACGTTTGGCCGACAGACACTAGACCGACAGACGTTTGACCGACAGAACCTTTCGCCGACAGACATTTTAGCCGCAGGACATTTGGCCGATAAGACATTTAGACGACAAGACATTTGACCGACAAGACATTAGGCCGACAGGACTATTCACCAACAAGATTTTTGATTTCAATTTATTTTCTAAAATAATGCTCACGGGTAATGATGACTCATTTGATAACTCTTTGATAATATTAATCAGACTATTATAGTCAAATTAATGACTCGTCGGCAGGTATTGTTCCACGGTTTCATTGTCTCAAACCACTATGAAAACAAAAGGTCACTCATTTGTTGGTCAAAAGGACGACTCATAGGTATTGTTATTTTGTTATTGTGATTCCCCTATATATAGGAGGCAGAGGATCACGGTTTCATTGCCTCATTTATTCACAAACTATGCAAACAAACTATAAAATTACCAAACGCTGAATTTAAGACTCAAAGCGATTGTGAGTGATTAGGACTTAAACGCCGACAGCTTTTTAGACTATATACGTGCTATTGCACAGAACTTGTAAATATGCGTGAAAGTTACAATATTGTGACCTTTATTTAAAGGGTTTTTCAAGACGTTGTTTCAAACAATTGAAATGTCGGTGAATTGTCCTGTCCGCCTAACGTCTTGTCAGCCAAATGTCCTGTCGGCAAAATGTCTTGTCGGCAAAATATCCTGTTGGCTAAATGTCTGTCGGTGAAAAGTCCTGTCGGTGAAACGTATGTCGGTATGGTATGGTATGGTATGGTATGGTATGGTATGGTATGGTATGGTATGGTATGGTATGGTGTGGTACGGTACGGTACGGTACGGTATGGTATGGTATGCTATGCTATGCTATGCTATGCTACGCTATGTACAGTAATATATGAACAACATCATTATTAATTTATTTTCTGAACGTTTCACATCAAGTGTTTGCCAACCGAGAGCATCCAAAATATCAGTAGACCTAACATCATAACTGGCTCCAGTAATCACTCTAGATGCACGGGATTGAAATTTTTGTAGTTTACCTTGAAGTGTTTTCCCACAGGCATCCCACGGAGGGGAACAATGATCAAAGTAGGGTTGAACTAATGCTTTGTAAATTGTTTGCAGAGTTGCAGGTGGGACATAGGGCTTCATACGTTTCATAGCCTCAATTCCAGCACTGACTTTACAACATATCGAATCGATGTATCTATCCCAAGTTAATTTTTTGTCAATGTCCATCCCTAAACATGTATCTTTGCTGGTTCGAAGGACTGGGGTATTATTTATCAACATTGGCGAATTTCCAATTTTATTGATAAGGTTATAAGATGACGCAATAAACATGACTTTTGTTTTGGTGGATGATGTTGAAGCTTATTTTTTAAAAGCCCCAAAATCATATGAGGAAGACGAAATTTGAGTATCATCTGCATGGAGATACGGATTTGTTTTTTTCCAAGTGATCTGGCATGTCGTTTACATAAAGTAAAAATAACAATGACCCGAGAATTGAACCCTGGGGGACACCGCATCTTATTTTTTACCAAGCCAACTTGCTCTCTATTCGTTAGGTAGGACTCAAACCATTTCAGTTCAATATCATGTGTTCCAAATTGATGTATTCCAAATGTCTGTCGGCCACGCACCGCGCACTACCTGCAGTAGGTGGTCAACCAGCAATTATGTATCAAAGTGAGCAAATGATGTTAAGTTGTTAACATTTCTGAATTTGACCATCATCTGCAGGCCTGCGTAACTAGCTTTGAGTCAACCGAGTCAGCAACCTCGTTCCCAGGGCTTCAGTATGAGGACGAGGCGAGACACGAGGAAGCCCTGGTCTGGGCCGGTCAATTTTGCATTCTGATTGGCTAACACCATATTGTTCAAAAATAACTGAACTTGACAGTTGACAATAACAATTCAACATTTGTATTTTTATGATTCTTGTGTGTACGAGTATGTTTTGCAAAATAATCTTTCAAAGTAAGGCGTTTTCCCGACTGCATGATTTACTTTCGCTTCGGCCGGTTACAAAACTCAAAAGCCGTGTCGAAGTGAGCTGTGATGTTTCCTGACAAAACAAGAAACGTGTACTATTATTTAAGCTGCAGTTTTCCTTGCACAGTGTTTAAAATGTAGTGCAGATGTCTGATGAAATATTACGCGTATTGCATTGTAGTAATATTTTAATTTACAATATTCTGTACTGACAAATAAAAGCAAGACAAACAATTAAATGAAACTACTAAATTAATTTAGGCCCTGTGCGCCTAGGCCGATGTAGTTTCTACAAGATTCGCACGCCACCGAGTTTTACAGTTTCAGAATACCCCGAATACTTGAAAATTGCGACTATACGATAAAATAAAACAAAGGTTGTGAAGGGGATAAAATTTGTAGGCAAGCGCAATTTGCTCCTGAACGGCAAGTGTTGGTGTCCGGCGAAACAAGCGAATCCGTATATTCCTGTACAGTGTAAACAGGTTACGCGAGGTTTTATATTTGTGTTTATTTATATTGAACTAAGTCAGATCTATAAGAGCATATTTAAACTAAATATTAATTATCACAATAGCCATATTGTTCAAGACGAGAGAAAGGAAATTTCGTGTGAATCACCACTTGCATGGAGACGCCTAGATGGGGCTTTGATGCACTTTGCCTGTAGTTGAAAATCTCCAGAAATATCGGTATATCTTAGAAAACAAAGACGGGATCTTCATAGATTTTAGCTGATTCGTGCCAAACTTCGCTCTACACATAAATAATATCGATTGAGAAGTCTTTTGGCTATTTATTTGTTTCGAAGACTCGTATATTTCATTAAAGAATATCTCGCCACTCCTTGACGAGTAGCTGTCAAATACTGCCATTTTTTGTCGTCACGTGACCGGCCCAGACCAGGGCTTACTCGTGTCTCGCCTCTTCCTCACACTGAAGACCTGGGAACGAGGTTGCCGAGTCAGTTGACTCGGTAGACCAGAATTTGGGGACTGAAATTTAAACATCGCCAGAAACTAAACCATGACTGAAATAATTTGCTCGTGGAAGAAGGCATGAAATGGCATTTTAGGACGAAATTCTAGTTTAGTTTTTCCAAGCAAAAATACTCCAAAGAGACCACCTTATCTTGCTCTTCAGTGACACTGAGAAGACGAATGCGTCGATTTCAAGTACCCCAATACATGTAATACAGTACTGGAGAATTTGAAGTGTGGTGAATGATAATACTATACCACGCACATTTTCATTACCGCATAATCACACCATGTTGCCGTATCGGAACTGGATTACATTTGGGAGACTGTGAAATTGGAGTAATTGTGTCACTGTTTATAAGGTTAATTTCCTTTTTTAAAACTCTTCAAAATGTTTATAAGGTTAATTTCTTGTTGGAAAACTCCTCAAAATGCTGGAAATAGCTTATCCGAGCTTCAAAAAATCCAAAATTTTAATCTCTCTAGAGACTCGCACCTTCGGTGGTCGACTCTAGCAGTTCTTGTCTCAGAATCCTAGTTAGGGTTCGATCTGCTGCTCTATGACGTATACTTATTAGTTAAACCATGCATATATATGCTGGTAGCGGCAGTAATGCAGACTTGCCGACTGGAACTTCTCTAGGTCCCCCTTCTCTAAATATTTCCATCTAGTTACAAATCATTAAAAGAGGCCTGGTACGTTATACGTACTTTAAGATCTTGGCTTGGCCCTAAATCTAATTCCTGTACATCTGGCTGTCTTGGCCCTATAAGTACCTGGGCCATTCCAATTAATGTCCAGACACCTATGGATGAACTTTTCTGAAGGGTGATTCCAAAGTTGTTTCTGAAGGGTTAAGCCTATCGGCATCCTTTGATCTATGGAATATTTCTGAAGGGTAAGGGGAAAATCCTTTGATCTATGGAATATTTCTGAGGGGTGTTTTGTGTCGGCACTTTGATCTTTTTTTCTTGGGGTTCAAAACCTTACTGACTTCATTCATAGGGGGAGGGGGTAGATATTAAATGGAATGCCCCCTGTGCATCTGGTTGTCAAAGTATTGACGACCACTCACCAGATCATGCTTTTGCTAGCTACTCTGGTTTTATAAATGAATACAAAGCCCAGTCGAATTGTTTTGTTGTATTCACGACCCAGCATTTCGGTACTATTTCGCCAAAACACACTACTTTATAGATCATCTTATGTGCATGCATTCAGTAACGCAATGAGATCCCCAATATAGTAAAATGTAGATAACAAATGCATTGGTACGCCAACTAACATTTCTACGACAACTAACATCTGCTAACTTGAAATTGCCATATTTTTACAAACAGTCTCACTGCCAGTCTGAGTACTTGGATAATACATCACACAACTGTTAGGGTGATTGAATATCTGATTTTGAAATGGTTCCGTAGAGTGTTGATGTTTTGTTAATGATATAACTCACATCTTAGGAGAATACGAGGTAGAGAAGATAGTCAGATGCCAACTAATTTGGTGTGCATCCACACCAAGCAAGCAGAAAAATTTGCCTGATCACGGACAGATGGGAATCGAAACCGCAACCTTTGGGATACTAATATTCATATTCACCTGAGTTTTGCAGAGTTTTCATTTGATCTCCGCGCACACTGGTTCACACACAATAACATTCAAGGGACTGTATTCTATCGATTTATTTCATTCGAAAGATTATACAACGCGGTTTTAAACTTCCTCGCATCGCTAGAACTTGATTACAACTGAATTTACATGTTAGCCTCAATCAATAAATTACAATGGATCACTATGACGTATTTTAAGCAATACTATATTCATATATCTACATTAAGTAGCAGAAGCAACTTCTGTGCGGAAAACTGGCAGCACGGCGCTGGGAACTTATAACACCCCACCCACCTCGATTCATAAAGGATTCATCTATAAATCAAGCATCGCCCTTGTCTTCGCTTTTGAAATAACAGTTGTAGCTCGTCTCGGACGCTCGTGCTAATTATGCAAGGAACCTTCTGACTCAGCTGAAGGGGATTTTCCTTCCTTCCCTTTCCCACCCGGTCGAGCTCGGATCTCTAACGGAGTAACGGGTACAGTTTCTGAACCGGTTTTTTCAGGTAAACTGGTCTACCTTTCCCTGCAACTCTTACCTTGGCCCCTTTAACATCCTTGTCCTTACCTATAATTAGCTCTTCTACTTTCGCTAATTTCCAATTACCTTGTTTCTCTCCCTCTCCATACACTGTCACTGACCTGTCACTACATCTCCCTTTTTCACACTCTTTCTCGCATTTCCACCCTTACATTTATGAAATTCTCTCAACCCTGTCAGACACTCGCTTTGCCACCTCTTCCAGAAATGTTGTAATTTCAACGTTCCACAACTACGTTCCTCTCTAACTACTTCCCTCTGTGGGGTGAAGTTAATAGCTTTACCATAGATTAGGTGTCAAAACATTCCCTTCACACTCTTCATACTCATCTGTTAATGGTATAGCATTTAATGTACCCTCTATTTCTTCTAGCACTGTGGTACGTTCATCTACTGTCAATTTAGCATTATCTCTAAAAAAACCTCCCCACCAAGGCCCTCTTTCTAAATTAAACCTCCACATCACTCGTTTGGTTTGCATTCCGTATTAACCTTAGGTTGGTTAAACAACCGGCTAACTGTTCTTTCTGCTGCCTTAATAATTGGAAACGTCGGCTCGTGAATGCAATTTTTTTGCGAGTTACATTAATTTCCTTAAATTGAAGTTTGATACCAACACTGTCTTAAATAGGACCATTCCGGAAGTTTTCCTGGACGCATGTGCTGTTACCACAAACTTGGCTTAGGAGATATTTCTACCCACTAACTGCTACCACCGCCAAGGACATTGGGTATGCTCTGAGTAAATATACACCAAAGACATTTATGTTTCCCGGGCCAAGACAACATACGAGTTTTGAAGAGTGGTTGCGAGGATTGGTTCACAACATCGGACATTTTATGGTTGGAGGAACAATGATGACATTATATTCCTCAGGTGAGACGAACAATACTAGCGTACTGGGGTTTGCTTCAACAGTTGTCGCTAATTTACAGTGAATAAGACATTTCGTAGACCGTTATAAAACAACAGTTTGTGGAAAAATTTGAAAATTTCGAAGTGTTTCAGGTTTTTTCCAACCCATGAAAATTATTTCCAAAAAAACGAAAGCAGAAATGTTGACTGATAAATTCAAACAAAACTTGCGTTTCAATATGTGCTTGTTGTTCCGGAAACAATGGTTTGCTGACGGTTTTATGACGGTCCTGGTTTGCTGACGTGCAAGAAATGACAGAAAGAATGTTCATTAGTGTGCAGTGTGCCAAGTGGTTTAAATTAGCAAAACATTCCACTAATCCACTGTGGGTTGCCGACCAATTTTCCAAATTACCCGTTTCATAGTTAAATTGCAATTAATTGTATACAATATACGATTTTGTAAATTACTAACTACAACTTTAATTACATTTTTAAACAAACGGCCGAAGTGGTATTGACTTCAACTTATATACAGACCTTCATGGGTAAAGCATATTATATAAAAATTGTTATTTAGTTTACTAACTTCACTACCAGCCATGGGCGGACAGACAGCTTCCTGGATCTTGGTCAGAAAAAATATTGGGGCCATATATGAATGTATAAATATATTTATTATACACTTACGTGCGCTTAACCAATCAGTAATCATTGAGAGGGTCATGTGCCGATCGAATATTTTACGATATTGGACAGGAACCTATTGGACAGTTGCGAATCGTGGCTTTTCTCACGGTTTTTTAACCCTTTTCAGATGTTATGTCAATTTCAATCATACGACAATGCAAGCGATATAGCAGAATCTTGAATAAAAAAATTTGGGACACTAATACAGTTTTTTCTACCAGTTTTGTTTAAAATTATAAAAGCGCGGGAAATTTGTCTTCGCGAAATTCGTTTGTTTGCAACAGCCTCGACGTTACTACTATTATTCTTTTCATTAAAATTAGGTCAAATTTTCTTTAAACATACATGGAATTGAGTTTATTTATGCACACATATATTTGAAAAAAACATGTTTATTAACTTTTTGTTTAGTTATTCAAGAAATTCGCCGCCGATATATGTAGCAATGTTGTCGCTGTATTATTCTCGCTGTATTACTTTATCGCTTATTGTCCATTGACAATTTTTGTTATAGAACTGTTTTGTTCGAGATAATAAAACTCTTATTGGATTCATCTTCGCCCAATATGGCAAAATATTAAGTCGCGACTTCAATATTAGGCTCGACCTTCGGTTTCGCCCAATATTGAAGTCTCGACTTAATATTTTGCCATATTGGGCGAAGATGAATACAATAAGATATATTGATTTAAGATTTCCCTGCATTAGCAAGGATTTCAACTCACTCTAGTTTCGAAAACGATCTTTCGTGCGAGCATTGCATGTCATTACTGAAAGAAAAATTCGTACGTCACCGATTCGATATGTTCGCGACGATTTCTTTTGCAAACAAATTGGCGGCCGGACTAGCTTGCACTCGTGTTCCAGGGGTCATAGCTTAGAACCCAGGTGAATTTTCAGCAAAAGGAAATCATATGAATCTCTCCGCCACCTTCCACTAATTGTCCACCCCCTCGATCCGTTAATTGTCCGATTGCTTCACCGCGCCCAGTCCGCTTCTGGTTTCGTTTTATGTTGTCATGTTATCGCAATTTTAGGTGTTACGATATTCCTGAAACCGTTAAATTTGATTTCGTAACATGCGAATCTGATATCGTGTAACTCGGGCCTAAGTTGTCAAAAATCAGAAAAAAAATGTAGGTCAGTCATGGTGAGACCATCGTCAGTTAGGAATAATGTATCTCGTCTCCTCACATCACAGGTATCCCAGAATTTTGCCTTCACCATGGATTTATCGACAAGATTTGGAGTGACTGGCAGCAGAGAAGTGAACTACATAAGAATGCTCATTTTGGTAGTATTTCAACACCCATGGCTGCCACAATATATTCACCAAAAGATGTCAATGACCTTCAAAATCAACCAGGTATCTTTTGTGAACATAAGATTTCTTTACAGTTATTAACAATCATGAAATAGAAAACATTTTCCGTGCCGTTTATATAGAGTTATAGAAACACATGCACGTGGAAGTTTGGGACAAACGAGATATTGCGTGGGAACACGAGCACATAAGTGCGAGTACTTGCACGCAATTTCGAGTCTCTTCCAAATTTCACGGGTGTTTCTATAACTCAATAGAAACATGGAAAAAATGTTTTCTATTTCCTTTATTAAAAAGCCTCTTCAAAACAATAAAAAAGATAAATTTGTTGATTTTAATTCGAATAAATTTATTAATTCTAATTTATATACGTTTGTGTAAAGAATAATTAAAGCATAGCCATGCAAGAAAACAAGTATACCGTTGTAAAAACGACAGGCTTTACTAAACTATTCTAAACTATATGGTTTGCTCAACAAAATAATATAGTTAGTAAGCAAGCAAGATATTGCAAAACCATAATATTTTTCTCTTTTTCCCAGTGTAAATGATGAGCAAACACTTTTTCAAAAACATTAGTAACATTAGTCTTACCTTGGTAAACATGGCCATGTCGAGCAAGCTGTATAGGTCGTCTTCGCTAAGTTGGCAAAGAAACAGCCTTTCTTTTGACGGTTTTTCGCCGTCTTCGGACATTTTCAACTTTTTTCAATATTAAATATTGTTTGTATTTCAAAAATCCCGCGCAATCCACTATCTACCGAGTTATAGAAACAAGGATTTCTTGAGCTTTCGACAAATCAGCGCTGGTGTTTTTAAAAGGCTATTTTATAAAAATTAATAATTCGTGAAGAAAAGCAGAAATTATGGGCGTGAAATAGCTTGCATATCTGATACGAATTCCGACCGGTTTAAAAAGCTTTTCCTCGCCATTGTTCGTTTGTATATCACAGTTCTGTCGATATAGAAACGAAAAAAGAACTCGACTAATATCCTACGATCCGGACAGAACAAGCTCAGTCAATTTATTACATCAATAGGTGGTGTAAGGGTATGTTATATCAACCCAAGTGGTCTTAAAGGTATTGTGATACATCTCACCAGATCGTTGAGTGCTGATAAATTACGGGTAAGATATTACAAAAGTATGTACTGTACAAATCTGATCAACGACAGGGTGTCTCAAAAAAGTGAACTTAGAAATCACTCTTGTTGTAAACACCCATGCTCCATTACCTATGCGAGTTTAGAATATATTGTAATATCGCTTTGTGAAATCCTCAGTTCTGGCTGTATCTCTATAAAATCACAAGGACGTCAATGTTAAATCGTTGCATGGGCTATATCTTTGGGATGAGAAATAATTCCTTAAATGCGCTTAAAATGTTTTATACACGATTAAAATGTTTTTGTAAAACGATAATCTTATGGAATGGGTCAGCATTTACATTCCCGACACAGTTTCTGAGATGTAATTCGAGAGGTAACTTATCATTGCATTTCGAGCTTTTCTGACAAGAAGGAAACAATGTGTCCGCATTGCGATAAAATGTCTTCGTTTAAGTGTCTTAATGGAAGTATACCTCAAGGTACCAAATTAGGCAACGTTGGTTAAAAAACGAGAAGAGATCTGAAAAAAGTTTGCTAAAGACAATAAATAATTTGGTCCACTTAAATTAAAAAACTCTTCAATTATAACCATGATAAATAATGCATAACTTACGACATCTAAGCGAATCTAATGGTTCCAATTCCATAAATACTGATAAATTTTTGAATTTTATAACTTGTTAATATTGATATCTTCTAACATGTAAAAATATGTAACTTAGTTTTTTAAAGATATTGTTATTCTTGATAATTTAAATATTAAATTGTAATTCAGCATTTGCTGCAGTAAGTTTTTGAATAAACCTATATTATTATTTTAAACTATTATATCAGTTGCTTGTGATGTTATTCTGCATGGGTGTATATCTATACCGGGCAAGCTTGAAAAATATGCCTGGCCACGGTGGGAATCGAACCTACGACCTTTGGAATGAATTACACCAACACAGAAAAAATTCTTTAGTATATCAGTTGGTGTTATCCTGTGCGGTAAGCGAATATTATTGGAAGGAGGGCTGCCATATACGTTGAAATCACCAAATATAAAACAGCCTACACACACATTTCTCCACTTCGTCGTAAATTTACCGCAGAGCAGATTTTATACCTTGGCACTGACTTTTGTCTTTGATGTGAACATTTATTCTTCTAGTTTAAGGTTATTTAAGATTGATCCTGCCGTAAATCTTCTAGCCGCAGCCAATCGACAATATTTCATTTTAGTGTTGTCTTTGCCATTACGTTGACTTCGCATTACTGTTGTTTTAAACACTTGATCGCGTTAAAATAGTTATTTTTCAGTCCAGTGACATCGCCAAAAGACTTAGCATTAACTTCCTTGTGATTTTACAGAGATATCGCTAGAACTGAGGGTTTTAGAAAGCGTTATCTGTACCTTCTCAAAGTTGTAGACAAGATGTGTTGTTCACGTCCAAAACGCAAAAGATTACATAACTCAAAATGATTCGAGCACAACGGTCTTTTGTTAAAAGAAAAACTGGTTAACAGAAATTGGTCGTTTTAAGTGATATAATCGTGAGTCGTCATCAATCCGTGTTGTTGAAAATGAAAAAATTTGCTGTGAAATTAGCGAAGATAAAATAGCAGTTTGTGAGAAAACTGCGGGTCGGATTTGAGCTCAGTGTGCTTGAACGTGTTAATTTAGTTCGCTAAAGAATGGTTAACGCAAAGTGTAACTGAAGTGTAAAACGCGTTTGAATACGATTTCCTGATCGGAATCCACCTAACATAAAGACTTTCTGAAAGACGTTCGTAAATACCACAACACAGCAAGAAGCTTAAACCGCAACAAGGGAGTTGCGATTTTATTTTAATTTAAACAGACAAAACAATATGTTTAATTCTCGAGCAAAGAAACAACGTGTGCGATCAACAACAAATGTAATATTAATTAAAACCCGATGTACAGCGGTTACGCAATTACACACAAAAATACTTCGTTACTGACACTACCACACACTCCACTCCATTCTACTCTTCTCTATTGTTTTCCATTCTATTATTTCAAAACTCTGGTCAACATCTTCAAATGAAATCGGAGCTGAGGCAGTTGATTAAGACACTATCAACAACTTATTTAGCTGGTGAATGGTGCCACAACCTGATATTCAAATTTTTGGGACCTATTCCAAAATTCTTTACTTAACTAATTACCATTCTGATTTTCCATTCAATTGCACTAAATCCTATTCCATTCAATTTATTCCATTATATTCTATTCGATTTTCTCGTATTCCGTTGCATGTCATTTTAAAGCATTGTATTCTCTTCTTTCAATACAATTCATTTCAAATCCAAAATATTTTGTTCAGTCTATTCCTGCAGTAACAGCGGCATCACCACCTCGTCAGGTCTGGGAATTGTTCAAAACACCATCCGAAGAACGTGAACGTGTGAAGCTGAGCAAGAAAGAAAACGAGCCAAGTAGAAGTGCTACCACTTTAATGTTAAAGGATCAACAACAATGTCTATATACAGATGGCAAGGTAACAGACTACCCCAAATTTTTGTGTGAATACTGTGTGTGACGCTGTCACGTGTGTTAAGATCTAAATTCATTGAAGGAACTTGATAGTATTTAAAACTATATGTATTCGAGAGGTGGTTTTAAAACTTGACTATGCTGTTAATCTCAAAATCTTTAAGACCATCACATGGATTTTCATAACAATTATTTTGATATTATTTTAGTTGGAACAAATAATATTAAACAAGACGCCTGCTCAAGGCGTTCGCTCCCTCGGTAAAGGGCAGCAACAGAATTGCTTGGGGTGATGTAGGAATTTGATAAGACGTGGTTAGCACCTTATAATATAGTAACATAATACTGTACATACAAATCAGAAATGAAAGATATATCTCCAGTACTTTAATTATACTGGTTTAGTCTACAGTATATATTATTGATTAAAAAACTCATTAATAATTCATCAGGAAAATACAAAATAAATGTTTAATCAATGTTTGTAAATCGGATAAAGATTTGTCCTGATTTACATAAACTTCAGCTTTGATTCTCTCGGCTTAGACAATGTTTATTTTTAAAATGACTTCGCCAATGAACTCATAAGATGTGTTGCTTTTACAGTTGATTTCACATAACTTTTCCGTGAATGTTGCGAACTTCGTTCCGTACTTCGTTGTGAAGTTCAAAAGTTCACACTGAAATTCACAAGCCGGTTTGTAAACAGAGCCTTTGATTGGTCCCTGAACAAAAATAAGCCAATCAGAGGCTTTGTTTACAAACCGGCTTGTGAATTTCAGTATGAACTTTTGAACTTCACAACGAAGTACGGAACGAAGTTCGGAACATTCACGGAAACGTTATGTGAAATCAACTGTAAGTACGTTAAAACATTCGGATCCGATCTTCGGCTCAAGTTCGTATATCAGATAAAGATCGGCTGCTCAGGCATGTTTTAACTAGTACTTATAGATCGTATACAGTTCTACTTCAAATGTATAAATAGTACACACTTGCACATTTGGTTCTTAGAAGGCTTGGGATAAGTATCATTGTGAAATAATAAGGTGATATATACCGGTGTCCCAGGAAATTTGGC